ACCTGTCTATATAGATAACAGGTATATCTCTCCCCACCTGTCTATATAGATAACAAGTATATCTCTCCCCACCTGTCGTTATAGATAACAAGTATATCTCTACTTACTTGTCTATACGTAACAGGTATATCTCTCCCCACCTGTCTATACATAACAGATATATCTCCCTACCTGTCTATATAGATAACAAGTATATCTCTCCCCACCTGTCTATATAGATAACAGATATATCTCTCCCTACCTGTCTATATAGATAACAGGTATATCTCTCCCAACCTCTCTATATAGATAACAGGTATATCTCTCCCTACCTGTCTATATAGATAACAGGTATATTTCTCCACCTGTCTATATAGATAACAGGTATATCTCTCCCCACTTGTCTATATAGGTAACATGTATATCTCTCCCTACCTGTCTATACTTAACCGATATATATCTCGTTGCCTGTTCATACTTATCAAACAGGTATATGTTACCTCGACTATCTTACTTTATACAAATAAAGTATACCGTTAAGGTAATAGGATTGTGTCGCCATTTCTCAGCAGAATTTCTTCAAATTTTGTAGTTATATTGCTTTGAAATAAAGAAAAATTTCTGCCACAAAAAAATATAGGTTGTCAGAATTTTAAGGATTTTAAAAGGAAATTTATGTAAAATTGAAGCAAAAAAATGAAACGCACAATTCTTTGCAATATAATGTCAATAAAAATGATACTGACATAGATTAGTATTGCATTAATGTATACCAATTTCATAAATGCTGAAATTGTGTAAAATGAATTATCTATAAACGATTAAAAATTGACATTTTATTATAAAACCATATACACATAGTAATTGCATGGAAGAGTTATCGTTTTTGAAAAACTTCACAATAGTGAAATAGGTACCCGGTTTCCTGAAGTACAGAAAAATGGACACATGTGACTCATAGATTAAAAAGCAACTGAAATAATGCCTGGATTGCTTTGAAATACTTTAATATTGAAAGAACACAATGTTCTGTCAATAATAAACATACAATATTCATCAGTTTAATATTAAACATTAGAATATGCGGAAATTGTGATACTGTCTCCCTACGCTGGATTTTCAACTAGGCATGTACTTCCTATTTCCGTTTAGCAATACACTCCTATGAATGCAAAAACTAAAGACGTAAACGGTTGTGTTACAGTAGCTGTCAAATTGAGCCCGCCTTAAACATAACAGGATACGTACCTTCTTAAGACGTCCACGAGCCCCCAGCCAATATTGCGGCAGTCTTTGTTGTAGAAGCTATTTACCGACATACAGGCTCTGTACTGGGCTATTTTGAAATCTGCGGCTTGTCTGCGGACTCTGTAAGACAATAAAGGACAGGACACTTCTCCGTGTTTTTTCTTTAACATTGAATCTATTTGTCGCAATCTAAAACATTATGTTTTTCTAATATACTTTCCTGATTTTAAGATGGTATCCACATAGACTACGTCTTCCTAAATTGACCGGGTTTATTGCGCAACTCTTTCCTATCCTTAGAACCAATACCCCGGCCTTCTTTTAAGATTGTCATTTTCGTGTCTCAGTTGATTCACTATACCAGAGTCTGTACTTACTTTCAGGAGTTTACATGTCACAGTTGATTCACTATACCAGACTCTGTACTAAGTGTCAGGAGTTTACATGGCACAGTTGATTCACTATACCAGAGTCCGTACTAAGTATCAGTAGTTTACACGTCGCAGTTGATTCACTATACCAGAGTCCGTACTAAGTATCAGTAGTTTACACGTCGCAGTTGATTCACTATACCAGAGTCCGTACTAAGTATCAGTAGTTTACACGTCGCAGTTGATTCACTATACCAGAGTCCGTACTAAGTATCAGTAGTTTACACGTCGCAGTTGATTCACTATACCAGAGTCCGTACTAAGTATCAGGAGTATATATGTCACAGTTAGTTCACTATACCAGAGTCTATACTAAGTATCAGGAGATTACACGTCACAGTTGATTCACTATACCAGAGTCTATACTAAGTATCAGGAGTTTACACGTCACAGTTGATTCACTATACCAGACTCTGTACTAAGTTTCAGGAGTTTACATGTCACAGTTGATTCACTATACCAGACTCTGTACTAAGTGTCAGGAGTTTACATGGCACAGTTGATTCACTATACCAGAGTCCGTACTAAGTATCAGTAGTTTACACGTCGCAGTTGATTCACTATACCAGAGTCCGTACTAAGTATCAGTAGTTTACACGTCACAGTTGATTCACTATACCAGACTCTGTACTAAGTTTCAGGAGTTTACATGTCACAGTTGATTCACTATACCAGAGTCTGCACTAAGTATCAGGAGTTTATATGTCACAGTTAGTTCACTATACCAGAGTCTATACTAAGTATCAGGAGTTTACACGTCACAGTTAATTCACTATACCAGAGTCTGTACTAAGTATCAGGAGTTTACATGTCACAGTTGATTCACTATACCAGACTCTGTACTAAGTATCAGGAGTTTATACGTCACAGTTGATTCACTATACCAGAGTCCGTACTAAGTATCAGTAGTTTACACGTCACAGTTGATTCACTATACCAGAGTCCGTACTAAGTATCAGGAGTTTACATGTCACAGTTGATTCACTATACCAGTCTCTGTACTAAGTATCAGGAGTTTACCCGTCACAGTTGATTCACTATACCAGACTCTGTACTAAGTATCAGGAGTTTACCCGTCACAATTGATTCACTATACCAGAGTCTGTGCTAAGTATCAGTAGTTTACACGTCACAGTTGATTCACTATACCAGACTCTGTACTAAGTGTCAGGAGTTTACATGTCACAGTTGATTCACTATACCAGAGTCTGTTCTAAGTATCAGGAGTTTACACGTCACAGTTGATTCACTATACCAGAGTCCGTACTAAGTATCAGGAGTTTACATGTCACAATTGATTCACTATACCAGAGTCTGTACTAAGTATCAGGAGTTTACATGTCACAGTTGATTCACTATACCAGTCTCTGTACTAAGTATCAGGAGTTTACCCGTCACAGTTGATTCACTATACCAGACTCTGTACTAAGTATCAGGAGTTTACACGTCACAGTTGATTCACTATACCAGAGTCCGTACTAAGTATCAGGAGTTTACATGTCACAGTTGATTCCCTATACCAGAGTCTGTACTAAATATCAGGAGTTTACATGTCACAGTTGATTCACTATACCAGACTCTGTACTAAGTATCAGGAGTTTATACGTCACAGTTGATTCACTATACCAGAGTCCGTACTAAGTATCAGGAGTTTACATGTCACAATTGATTCACTATACCATAGTCTGTACTAAGTATCAGGAGTTTATATGTCACAGTTAATTCACTATACCAGAGTTTATACTAAATATCAGGAGTTTACACGTCACAGTTAATTCACTATACCAGACTCTGTACTAAGTATCAGGAGTTCACATGTCACAGTTGATTCACTATACCAGACTCTGTACTAAGTGTCAGGAGTTTACATGTCACAGTTGATTCACTATACCAGAGTCTGTTCTAAGTATCAGAGTTTACATGTCACAGTTGATTCACTCCACCAGACTCTGTACTAAGTCTCAGGATGTGTAGTGTATAGGAAACTTATATTGACCATTAAATTACGAAAGACTTTTTTAACAGACTACAAAAAACACTGATGACTGTTTATTGTATTCTACTAAATGACGATAAAAGGTAACATTTTATTTCAGAAAAAGAAAAAGCTCAGATATCACTTTTGCAGAAAGAGAACCCATTATATGTGAGTATAGGAGGTCTGTAAAAGTATAACTTTCTGTTTCTCAACGGTACCAAGAGCAGGATTCACTAAATCGTGATTTGTGATGAGAGGAAGTTATTTAGATTGGGTCGGTATTTCGACATCGAGAGCCCTCATCATCCTTGTATAATATTACTCGGCACATATCCTTTCAGATCCAAACAAAGCTTTGCTGCAGTGTTCCAGCTAGGGCAGGGCAATGACCAGAAAAGGGGTACTTTTTAGCGTGGATCATGCTTTTTAAAGGGCACTTGTTAGTGCGTTAGCTTGTTGTTTGGGGCAATCAATGTATAAGTTACTTAAAAAATGTAGTGTTATACATACTTGATATATTGTCATCATTTTAGGTTGGTTTTTGTGTTTACTCTTTCAAATATGATTCATCATTAAATGATAGTGTATTATAAATATCCTGATTTTAATTTCTTATACAAAAATACCAGTCAAATACCTGAAAAAATTTACATGCTGACCACAATATAAATTTAATGTGAAATGATTATTTTTTCATATTAGAGAATGCTGAAATCATCTTAAACTCAACATAATCGGCAGTAACAGGTATATCTCTCCCCACCTGTCTATATAGACAAAAGAATTGGGTGGTATTTTTATGATTTATGTATAGTAGACCTGACACAGATAACCAAATATTGGCGCTGAAGAAGAAGTCCAGTGGTATTAGCAAGCGTAAAAGTTAAATACAGGAAAAATACTTGATGCTAGTAAATGCTTGGTTACTAAAAAAAATTATTGAGAATTAGAGGATATAAAGTCAAATTTAAAAAAAAAAAGTTAAAAAAAAAGTTTTTCAATTAGATATTTATTTTTTTAAATGAAAAAGCCTATTCTGTTAACAAACCAATTTTTTATAAAAAAAAAAAAAAAAAAGTACTCTAAATGAATTTTTGGTATACCAAAAAATAGTACTTTAAATACGAATTTATTTTACTGGTTTCCGGTTCAGTGTTTACTATACTATACACAAGCCAAAATGGCGGGCGGTAAACAGAATTACGGCTACGGTATAAGGCTGTAACAAATGCTCCAGCCCTGTGTGTAAAATTCTATTTGCGTAAGTTTGATAAAACCTAAGTTAATGTTTATACCTACAGTCACAAGAATTCCAGTTGCCTATGAACGTTCGTTTACAGAACAGCATACTTCCAACCTATTATTTTCTGGTCGAATATTGAACCCTATTCCCAAACGCAGGATTGTACACCCACGTGCTACATTTCGTGTCGTTATTAGCAGAATATTATCCTTAAATCTCTATTCTTACTAGTCAAGAACCTGACTTTCCTAAATAAACTTGAAAATGACGCTGATTCATTGCTTGTCCATCCCTACTTGGAGAGCAATGATCTTCTTTTGTCACTTTGGTTAACAACATCAGCATTGTCATTGAAAAGTGAAACGAGGTTCTAGCAACAAATTATCATAAACATGGTGCCCTAAAGATCGCAAGGATATACGCATAATGCAATAGTCCAAAATTTTGTCTTAAAATGTTCTTTATATACAAGTTTGATCTTATTCTTCTAGATTTGTTGGTGTTTAATACTTTCAGTGTCGCTCTTCAGCTTTATGTTAAACTCTCTAAGGCGCGTTCATGTACGCTTTTATTTGGTGTTAAAAATAATACATTTTTTAAATCACTATGTTGCCTATGCGCGATGCAACTTATTACGGAAATTTGATGACAATGTTTCTCAAAATACATCACAGCGCTTTTGTATGATTTCGTTACAATTTTTACAAAAATGAAATCCTGAAGTACGATATGCGCTAACAACAATTATGTTATAGAATCAGCAGCCTGCTAAATCAACGAGAACTGACAAGTTTTCTTATCATGCTGTCATTTATTCAAAACCATATCGGCTTAATATCGATCTGATACCAACGTCCATAGTCAAAACAAACATCCAAACCGAACCATTAAATATATCGTATTTTATAGTCATAAACAAGTATCCTCTCAATTGTTTCTTCCCATTCTACGAATACCACTGGCAATTTTAATGTATTACATTAATAAATATATGTATATGATGTCTATTGAATACTAACTTAATCATTTCTAAATGTGTATCGTCAGCTCTATTCATTACCCATGTGTACATACAATACATACTGTCAAACCCCAAGATCAGATCTGTGCAGGAAAATAATAATGAAAATATCAAAATTGTGTTTTATCACATGATGACTGAATCGAATGTTCGGATTCTTCTGTAGTTGCCTTTAAACATGTGCCGCCAGTTTGACTATCTATCTTGTGTTTATGAATATCAGCAAATCGGCTGTCTGATTTCTATTCTCCTGTAAAACCGCCCTACTCATGTCAATATCATAACGCCAGGCCCTGTCCAGCTTGTAAAGCTTAATGAGAAGTGATGTGTACGAAAGCAATTGCAAAATAAAAATACTTTCTCGGAATTAATGATGAGGAGACTTTTGAGTAGTGGAGCCCGTTAGATACTGCTTCGAAAGGGATGAAGTAATAAAAACAATACAGTAGAGGATTATCTATATTGTTTTCGCTGTGATACTAGATTTGTAGAAAAATGTATGAACTCAACTAACATTTAGATAAAAAAAAAAAAAAAGCTAGCAGTGTTGACTGGTTAAAAACAGACGTTAACTGATTTCTGTTTACTCCAAATTTCGGGATCTGTCATGTTTGTAAGAATTCACATGAATTTTAATTGCTTAAGTAGCTTCGTGTATGAATAACACTATATTAATGAGTATAATATTTATATTCGAGAATGATAAAGGTAAAATCAAATGAAAACATGTCATTAAAATTATCACTATTTCAAAATTCGTTCAACAGGCTGAAATATTCCATATCAATTACACCTTGACGATACATTTTTCAGAATTATGGTTATTCAAAATTTGGAAAAAAAAATTGGGAAAAAGTAATAAAAAAGCATTAGTTTTCATGACTTTTACACACCAATCAAACATTTTACCACTGTTGTCTACCGGGAGTTTTAAAAACACAGCAAAATAACGGCCGCTAGGGATAAAAAAAAAAGAGTACAACGCGACAGTAATACCTTGATGAAGGAATTAACTTTAGGCCTAAAAATACAACTGGTTGCTAAATTTTCAACGTATAATAAAAAATAACACAATAAAAACCACATTGAGTTGAACTCCTCTTCGCGATTCTTGAAACAAAAATGGCATAAAAACTTAAGCAATGTTCAGTATGTGATTTATGTGTATCATTGTCAAAGATAATTTTTGAAAGGGGAAGGTGAAATAAGTGAAAATTCACATATCATTAATTTCAAAAGAAGGGATTGGATAAAAACAAAATACTCGTTGACCCAATTTTACTTGCATGTAGATATAGTACCATGAACTACATAGTAAAAGTGGGTATCTTCAGTAGGAGATAAGCAGCAGCACGTCCACTGGAACAAAGTCATACAAGAAAGACGAAACCAATCGCTGTGGAAATAAGGCCGAGAGGGCAGCTAACGGTGATTGTTATTTGTAAACATAAAGGCCATGGTATAATATCCAAATCAAGCACAAAATAAGTTTAGAATTCATAGAAGGTAACTGCTAGCAATCAATTCTTACAGTCGTCGGCTCGCTGGAAAGCTACTAAAATCAAATGTCTAGATTTGGTGTCGAGAACTAATGATCTGGTGCGGAATTAAAAACACCATCAACCATTTTGATATTGCGTGTTTTCTATTTGAAGAAGGTTATAAAGCAATGTTTAATTTCTATATCAACCATTTATGTAAAATTAACATTCTCAAATTCTTCCCTTCAAACATTAATGACATTTGATTTAAATACATAACAAACAAAACATGAAATCAAACCAGTGATCGGTTGTGAATACAAAATCCGAGTGGTCCCGTCGGTAGTAGAGAAAGATTTATTGGATCATTAATCATTCCTAGCTCTAACTACGATAAAGTTCCTAAATTATGACTCAGTTCAGGTCCAGAACAGTGTTTCGTTACGGTGTAAATCATTCATTTTCAGACAATGAATGTTCCTATATTTCTAGCACTGTTAGAAGATCTTTGTAATGACGTCATTTTGAGAAGCAGTATGCCTTCTATGTAACCGATTAGGATATTAATGTTAAAGCATGCTGACTAAGACGTAATATTTTGATGACGTTGCTTAACATCTCACTGGAATATTTTCAAATACAAATTACTAGTATTATCGCAATATGCAATGACCGGAACAACTATGTAATGTATTTATAGAAACAATATTTCCTTTATAGTTTTGCATTGCAGATCAAGATAATTGTAATTTTACCAAAACATTCATTTCGATGTTATATTCCAAAACTGAAATTCACTATGCCGTGCTTCTTTTCTTGATACTGTCTTTTAATTGTCTTTTACGAGTTTAATTTCATGTTCTTTGCTCTAACGTTATATCGTAATATAGCACGCTGACACCAGTCTGATTCGATTTTATATAACTCGTTTCCTTTATATGTAATTCAATTCAAATGATTAATATTTCTCCCTCAACGACTATTATTTCCGTCCACCGTGATATACATTCAATAAATCTAACTAAAATAAATGCTGATTGGAGAGAGCGCTGATAATGTTGTAACAACTTGTTCCTTAGTCTTTTGTACTTTTCTATGACAATAAAATATGTTTTAACTAATCAGACGTTCTGTAGAAAGGGGACAATGGTAAAAACATGAACAATAGAAAAACGAGTTCAAATGTACTAAAATCAGTGTGGTAGTCAAACGCACTCTAAGCCATCTTTAAGAGTTAATCAAGTAGAAACAGTAAAATCAATGAGAAATAGAGGATCGTCCTTGTTTCTCGAGAACACCAGTGAGATTTTATCTAATGAGATGAATGTGTTAAACTCACACCCCTGAATAACATCCATTCCATAAGTTACAACATCACTAGTATCCAACAAGAAATGAGGGCGATTCTATTCAAACCAGTTCT